TCGACAGCCTGCAAGCTTGAGTGCTGTGCAGTGCAGTAGGAGACGCGGGGACGCGGACAAGTGAGTCCGGGATTTAGTGCGAGATATAGGTGTTGTTGAAGGGAAGAAAAAATAAAGGCTCCTGACGGTTGCCTTAGTTCCCCGAACCGTACACTCTTCGTACCCCCTCCTTGTTAAGCCACGTCACGAAATTCCTTTTCAGTGACTTGCGTGGAATGCTACGCGTCAAGTTGACCGCTGTAGCACCCGTCTTTCTCTCTCGTTCATGTGAGCTCTGGCAGCTATGCACCATGTGAACAGTTTCATCTTTTGTTAAACCAAGAAAGTTTGCTGCGACCGAGAAGTACAGGCGTGCCATACGGCGCCTCGACGTTGTAGTAACCATTCGATGAAAATGTAAAAAAAACAGGCACGTGCACACGTTTGTCACTCCGGTGGAAGCTTCGTCGAGAGCAACGAAAGAAAAAGAGCAGAACCTCGATTTCACTAGTGAACATGGCCATTTCAAGCGAAAACGACTTTTACTTTATGGAAGTAAAAATCGTTCTCACGTCTGTCTCGCAGGCGTGCGATTTTCTCTGCGACTCGGTGTGCGGTGCGACAATGCGACTGCCGGAGTGATGACGTTTCGTGACATTTCGTGACGTTTCGTGACGTATCATCGTGTCGCACCGCCACATAGCCGGTTCGGCGAGCATCAAACCGGCCAGATATTTTTTCCAGCATCGCACCGCCGCATGGGAGCAGCCAATCAAAGCGGGAGCATACGAATGGCGTCACGATGCTAGTGGCGCCATCTCCCTGTCGTCGCTACCATCACCCGTGGTCCAAGACTCCAGGCGAGTCGATGGAGCGGTGCGAGCGTGGATTTGCTGACATCGCCGACTGCGGCGGCGTGACAAACATCGAGTACATTTGCCTGGTGTCGCGATATTATTCCGTATTGAATAAAGTGATGCTTGAAGTGTGCCTTTTCTGCAAGACAACGCCCGTTTTGAAACCGCTAGCGAGATCGGAGATTGTGAGCAGCGATGCAAGGTCATTTTTCAGGTAAACACAGCTACCCATTTCCTAACCTCGGCTGTGGGAAAGCTTATGGAAACAATGGTCAGGGATAGGCTTTCCAATTACCTCGAGGCCCGTCGAACATTTGCCGACACCATGTACGGCTTCCGTCCACATCGCTCGGCTCAGGACATTCTCCTGCAACTCCACCGTGACGCTATTGAGCCGGTAGAACATCCCAGCGACGACAAGGTAGTCTTCGCCTTGGATCTCAAGGGAGTTTTTGATAACGTTACCCACGAAATTATTTGCCCATCTGTCCCAAACAGACTCTGGGCGAAATGCTTTCAGGTACATCCGCCTGTTGTTGATGGAACGGCAGTCATACCTCCGCATTCAAGACAAGGAGCACGGTCCATATCTTCTAGGTACTCGAGGAACACCACAGGGTGCGCTCCTCTCTCCCCTTCTGTTCAATCTCACCATGGCTCATCTCCCCCACTGCTGAAAGATATCCCCGGTGTACGGCACGCTCTGTATGCCGACGATATCACGCTGTGGGCAACACACGGTTCTCTTGGCAGCATTGAGGCCAGCCTGCAGCAAGCAGCATCGGTCGTGGATGACTACGCCCATCGCTACGGCCTCGAATGCTCCCCACGAAATCGGAGTATGTGCATCTTCGCCCTAAACCAAAAGACACGACTGAAATTGTACTTTCCTTGCGCACCGGGCCTATCCCGGAACGGGAAGAAATCCGCGTCTTAGGGCTCTTTATACACAAGAGCCGGAAAGTTGATACCACCCTGCGCAAATTATGTACGGTCGGGATCAGGTGGGCCGCATGGACCGCTGAGTCTCGAACAAGTGAGGGGGTCTCAGATGCCGCGATGCTCTACGCCTCGCCAACGCTTTTGTGACCAGTCGAATTCTTTATTCGACACCCTACCTACGTTTGCGCAAATGCGATGAGAACACGCTGGACAGCATTCTCCGAAAAATATACAAGCGCGCCCTAGACCTCCCGATCACGACGTCTAACCAACGTCTTGCAGAGCTGGGCATGACCAACACGTACGGGGAACTCAAAGAGGCCCATCTCAACAACCAGTATCTGCGGCTTACCAAGTCGCATGCTGGAAGATGTCTCTTTTGCCTCCTCCATATCTTTTACACCTACAATGCAGAGGGGCGGACCACGATCCCAGAGGACTGGCGTGGAGCGTTGGTTATCCAACCTCTGCCCCAAAACATGGCTAGGTGGACTCACTAAGGCAGGCGAACTGCGCGGGTTACAGCTTTGCAGGGATGCTATGGGTCCCGTCTTGGAGTCTTCTATACGGACGCGTCCGGCCCCCTACCATGGGGGGTGGTACACGGCGGCCGTAGTCCATCAAAACTTGCCTGTCCAAGGGCTCACATTTCGAGCCACGGACATCACTCATGCAGAGGAACTCGCCATAGCTCTCGCCGCAGCGGACCCCGCATCTCGGTTTTTTATTACCGATTCGCGGAGCGCGTGTCAGAATCTTGCTAAAGGTCGTATCACCGTTCGCGCTGCTCGAATACTTAAGCGCTGTGATTACATGGACCGCCCGAATACACGTTTCGTCATCTGGACTCCAGCTCACGCAGGACTAGGTGGTAACGAGGCTGCCGATGCCTCGGCCCGCGTGCTTGATTTCCGAGACCCGCCTCGCCCTTCATCGCCTGATGATCCAGAACCTAATCCGGTAACCTCCTTTCGCGAAATTACAGTGATGTACAAATCGAACAGGCTCCGATTTCCGCCCCTAGCGCCGGGCCTGACTAAGTCTGACGAGCGCTGGCTCTTGCGCCTTTACACCAACACAGTATTGTGCCCGGCTATACTTAAGCACTTCAATCCGGCCTTCTCCGGGGAATGCCCTGCACTGTGCCCATCCGCTTGCGGATACTTTTCACATGGTGTGGGCATGCCCTTCTAACCCGGCGGTCCCCCCAATCACTTCCCTACACCCCCTACCCGAGAGAGCTGGGAGGCTGTCCTGCTCGGCTGCTCGGCCTTGGCGGGCCAAAGAGCCCTCGTGGCCAGGGCGCGTGCCGCCGCAGAAGCCACAAAGGTCCCGGACTAGGGACTCCTCCTATAGCTTGTAAAGGGTCGGCCCTTTAGGTCGTTCCTCTCTCTCAAATGTAAATAGTGTCAATAAATGTTTTTCACCACCACCACCTACCGGCGTCTCTCACTGGCTCGCTTCGCTTCCACCTTTGCTCTTCACATCGATGGCACCGATATGTATGCTAACGCATTACATACGAGCGCAATGCTTGATAGTGTTGTCAAAAACAAGCGCTCGATGACGAGCTCACGTGTGAACGGCGTAGGCGACGGCCGGCGCCCGCGATGCTAGGCCTACCTGTCGGAGTCGTGAATAATCAGCTGTTGCCGTGGTTACGACGTGCTTTTCGTTCACGAATGCGATTTATTAATTATTTTATAGAACGAAGCGAGGCTGTGCACTGTTGTTTGTTTTGAGCCTCATTGCGAGGATACCAAGTCGTTCGACCCTGCATGCCGAGGCGCCGCATGGGGGCGGAGCATGCCGCGCTCCCTCGCCGCCGTGTGTCCCAAAACGCCGCACCATGCGACGCCGCACGCCGCATCGCACGGAAAATCGCACGTCTGTCTTGCGCTTGCGACAAAGATCGCCTTCATCTTTTACGAATGCAAGAATATCTTCTTCTTCACAAAAAGGAAATACTGCTGAGTCTTCCGATGAAACGGCGCTGGTGGGTGAGGCCCTTGTGGATGAATCGAGAAGTGGAATCGGAGTTCTTCACCTTCGTAATGCGGATTAGAAATTTGAATTCTTAGTAGCTTTTTTTATAGAATTGTTTCGTCACATTGCGAAATGTTTGCGCAGATGCTTTTGCTGATGGCTGGGGACAGAGAGTATTTTAAAAAATACTATCGTATGACACCTGAGACGTTTGAAGAGCTCCACTCACTTGTCGAGGAACCGCTCACTCGGATGCTGGTCACAAGAGAGCCCGTGCCATCAAAAGCAAGGCTTGCCATTACTATAAGGTATATTCGCATACCACTTCACTGTTTAATTTTTTTGCTCTTATCTTTTTCCATATTAACTAGAAGACACTCACAGTTACTTCATTTTCAGATATCTCGCCTCTGGAATGTACATTCAGGATGTAGCCATGGCTTTTAGAGTGGAAATTTCCACAGCCGCCGGTATCATTCATTTCACTTGCAGGCTACTGTGGGGTGTACTGCAACCTGTTGTCTTAAGGTACGCTGTACGTATTTTAAAAGGAATGTGTTCCTTGGCCTTTTCTGCCGCTGTTTATGTAAAATCGGCCGTCCGTGCTTTTGTGCTCTTGTTTTTGTTTTTTTTTCGCATTTTTGCGTACATGCCTGTTCTATTGAATGTACTCGGTGACAAAGGCACAAGTGGACATCACTCAAATTTTTTCAGTACTGCTCTGACCTCATGACGGGCTTATTTCAGTAGCCCTCCAAACGTTAAACTATCAACTTATATCTTACCAAGTACAAGCATACCTCTTTTTTTATTGATTTTTCCCTGTGATGAGACATTCGCTTATAGACGACGATATTTCAGCGTATTAGTGATGACAACGTTGCTCATTTCAGATTCCGACAGCTACCAGGTGGCAAGAGATCGCAAATGATTTTTGCGACAAGTGGGATTTCCCCCTTTGTGTTGGAGCTGGTGGACGGAAACATATCCAAATTCAAATGCCACCACACTCCGGAAGTCTTTACTACAACTACAAGGTGATGGTGACATTGCGTGAAATGCTTTAAATTTCGAGCATATCCTGTTATCAAGTTTGTAACACAAGCTGAAGGTAGAACAGACTGAACATTTATTTAGTGCCGCGTCTTTAGTGTACCTTGTTCGATCAATAGGTTCTGAGTTCTTCTCTGACGACCAAATTTTTCCTTATCGTAGGGGACCTACTCCATTGTCTTGATGGCAGTGGTCGACAGCAACCTGAAGTTTGTTGCCGTTGATGTGGTTGCCTATGGGCGGCAGAGCGATGGGGAACACTTCAGCAACTCTAGATTCGGCCGAGCTTTGGAGAATAGCCTGCTGTGTCTTCCACCGCCGCAGCGACTACCTGATGACACCACCATTGCTTCACATGTGTTTGTCGGTGATGAAGCTTTCCAGCTTCGCCCAGACTTTCTACGGCCCTATCCGGGGACTCGACTTGAAGATGACAAACGAATATTCAATTATCGCCTGAGCCGCGCAAGGTGATTTGGATGGCATGGAATTCTCATTAAATGAAAGAACTGTTGACATTAAGTGACTTATATGTACATATACATAATGTTCTTGTGCTGTTCAAACCTACATTTTCTCTTATGTCAAATACTCACCCTATACTTGCGTCATGATTTTTTTACGCGCAGGAGGTGCGTGGAAAAATGCTTTTGGCGTCATGACATCAAGGTTCCGAATATTCAGGAGAACCATAAACCTGCTACATGAAAACGCTGACTATGTTGTCATGGCGTCGTGTGTTCTCCACAACTTCCTATCGGAAGACGTCTTCTACATGCCCACCCATTATGCGGATAGAGAGGATCCGTATGGAAATACAACGAATGGCCAGTGGCGCTCAGCAGCGGACGCAGAAGGAACTGCGGTGATTCAACTACAGCCTCCTGTGGGCCACAATTACCGCAAATCAGCGGCTGAAACGAGAGATATCTTTAGATCTTATTTTATAAGCCCACAGGGGGCCGTGCCTTGGCAGCGGGCGTCCGCCGGACTACGCCCTTAAAGTTTTTGCAAAATGTATCGTAGGGTACATGCCAAGGTGAGCGATGACTTTTTAGCGAGAAATTCAAAGCTTGTAATACACAAATAACGAGATAGCCTATACTCAATTTTCATTCATTCTTTTTTTTTGGGGGGGGGGGGGGCGTGTAGTATCAGCTCATATTTTGTAACATACCGTGTTCTCTTTTCATTGAAGTTCGAGTGTCGTTTTACCTTAGTTATAATATTGTATAATACACCACACTCCATCCTAGTATTATTTTATATATTATGTTTTATATTTTATTTCTATATTTCTGGGGCTACTGACGTGGCTTCAGAAATCGTGTGTTTATGCATCGACACCACTGTATTACCGCTAAGCAAACATAAAATGTTACTGGAAAGTACACTATCTATAATTTCATGCACAGTGTCATATTTGTTGGAACCGCTGTTTCCTCGCAGGCATCCATGTTACTGATGCTCCTGAAAGCAATGTATGATTCAGTAAATTAATGACTATACATTACAAAGACGACAGCAAGCATACGAGTACTACGTTACATTGGCTATTTAAAACTCGCGCTTAATATTGCCACCTGATATTTACAATTACGTCACGTACCGCCTAGGTTCCGATACGTCTCTGAGGAAAGTCATCTGTTCAGTGTGCGGCCAATATGCTGTCTTCGATGGAGCTGCGGCACCGCTCTTTTTGATTTTTTTCTCTTCTTTTATTTTTTTCCTGAATGTGTCCTTAAGGTTCTTCCAACGTGCTTGAAGTTCGTCTGCTGTCACTGAATGAGAAAAATTTCACATTAGAGCAAATCTTTTAAAATATATATGCGTGGCACATCTATTTTGAAACTATAAGTTAAAAAAAAGTCTTTACATGCACAACGTGTACGAAAAGAAAATGTTCACGAACGGTAGAGAAATAATCCCAAGAGCAGTAAATGTCTACGTGACACGTGACGCATCTCGTTCCTTAATTCTATAAAAGCAAATGGGAACGTGTGTGGGCATTCGAAATGATGAATTGATGGACTTTAGTGCCACCCCATAACTCCATGCTTGGTTCTTCAGTTATGCACACATGCACACATGGTCGTATACACACAAAAAGACATTGTTTACTTACCAGATTCATCGACTTCTCTAAGAATCTCGGCAATTTCTTCCAGAGGAATTGGACTTTCTGTTTACCGGGCACAGGTTCGCCCAAATAAACAGTTAAATTCAACAAGAAGTCTCCTGTCTTCGGCCACGTCACGACCCCGTGACATTTGGTGGAGGTGCTGCTTCGTTCATGTACCGGACGCCCCCGTCAAGCCGTGAACCCAGCCACGTCGCGGAGAAGACACCGACGCCAACCAGGAGCAGCGAACAAGCCGCCGACAGCAAGGGCTACTACCGGAGTACGGGCTTCTACACGACAAGCCGCGGAAGACCAAAGCCATGACCGCGACTGCAGCGACAATGACAACCGCAGCGTCCCAGCCCACGATGGTCATGCATCAACCCAGGGAACCACCAATTTTCCATGGGTCATCGTTCGAAGACCCGGAAACCTGGCTAGAAACATACGACCGTGTGGCCGCCCTCAACCACTGGGACAATGAAGAAAAGCTCCGTCGTGTGTACTTCTACCTGGAAGACACCGCAAGGACCTGGCTAGAGAATCGGGAGTCCACGCTCCGAACGTGGGATGTCTTCTGCGGCGCATTTCTTCAAACGTTCGCAAGCGTCGCTCGCAAAGAGAGGGCCGCTGCTCTACTCGAGACCCGGGTTCAGCTACCAAACGAAAAGGTTGGAATTTTCACAGAGGAGATGACCCGCCTATTCCGTCACGCTGACCCAGACATGCCTGAGGAAAAGAAAGTTCGTTTCCTCATGCGAGGGGTCAAACAGGAGCTCTTCGCGGGGCTGATGAGAAACCCACCGAAAACCGTCCAAGAATTCGTAGCCGAAGCGACCACTATTGAAAAGACCCTGGACATGCGCACCAGACAGTATGATCGTCGCCTGACTGCAGACTGCGCTGCTGCTCAAGTCAGTAACTACGGAGACCTGCGTGAAACGATCCGAGCGATCGTGCGGGAAGAGCTGTGCAAGCTGTTGCCTTCGGCGCAGCCTCAAGTGGATTCGATCGCCGACATTGTGCGAGAAGAAGTTCGGCAATCGCTTCAAATTCCCCACGCACCGCTGCCCGAGCCGGAAGCTATGAGCTACGCCGCTGCACTGCGCCACAACGCTCCTCCCCGTCCACGCCAAAACGCCGCCCCATCGAACTTCCGTCGACAGACGCCACCGCCGCCACCACCCCCACCGACGTCATACCGTTCGCCAGCGGCCCAGCGCAGTGCACCGAGGAAGACTGACGTCTGGCGCACCCCTGACCATCGCCCGCTCTGCTACCACTGCGGCGAGGCCGGACACACATACCGCCGTTGCCAGTACCGACAGATGGGACTGCGTGGCTTCGCCGTCAACGCACCGCGTCCACAGCCAGGAGAACGACCACGTGACATCGCCGACTACCTGACAGGAACTCGGTGGACACCACGAAGCCCTTCGCGTTCGCCGTCGCCCAGCCGCCGCACGTCACCGCACCACCGACAGTACTCTGGCCCAACGCGGGGCCGGTCTCCTAGCCCGTATCCGGGAAACTAAGGGCAGCAACCGGTGGAGGTGCGGTTGCTGTGCGACGAACTACCGAAGATCCTCCGACGACGACGACGCCGCGACGGAGCTTTCCGAACACAACGCCACACAGGCAAAGCCCTGACGGCGAAAGCTCACTTACCGAAGGTGGCCTGACGACGCAACAGGGAAGCAGCGGAACAAGCCGACGCAGCCGTGACCCGACGCCACGCCCTAACTGTAATGCGAGACGGCGAATTAGCGACCTCGACGTTCTTATCGACGGCCACAGTGTGACCGCTCTCGTCGATACTGGAGCCGACTATTCTGTCATCAGTGGGTCGTTCGCCGCGAAGTTAAAGAAAATTAGGACTGCTTGGAAAGGCCCAGAAATCCGCACAGCCGGAGGTCATCTCGTAACGCCTGCAGGAATCTGCACAGCGAGAGTCACCATTAACGGCCGTATTTATCCTACAGACTTCGTAGTCCTACAGCGTTGCTCGAGAGATGTCATCCTTGGCATTGACTTCTTATGCCTCCATGGTGCTGTCATCAACCTAAAAACAAAGTCGATAACGTTATCCACAGAAGAAGCACTACCACCGCGCACGCCGTCTGGACACCATGCCTTGAATGTGCTGGAAGAACAAGTCACCGTTCCGCCTCGCTCAAGCGTCATTATTTCAGTCGGCGCTCCTGAATCACCTGACTTCGAAGGCGTCGTTGAAGGCAGTCAGCATCTGTTGGTCACCCGAAATATTTGCGTCGCAAGAGGAATTGCAGAGTTGCGGGGAGGCAAAGCAACGGTTATGCTCACAAATTTCAGCAATGAGTACAAACATGTGAACAAAGGAACAACAGTCGCATACATCGAAGAAATTGTCGAAGCCACCAGCGCTTTCACCCTCGCCGATTCTGCGGAACCTGCTCAGAGGAACCAAGCCCCTCCCATAGCTTTCGACGTCAATCCCAGACTTCCGAACGATAAGCAAGAACAGCTCAAGGCCCTGCTCCTGCAATACGAAGATTGCTTTTCGTCGTCATCGAAAATTCGGCAGACCCCAATCACGAAACATCGCATCATAACCGAAGAAAATGCCAGACCACTCCGTCAGAGTCCGTACAGGGTTTCGACGCGAGAACGTGAGGCCATCAAGAGACAAGTTGATGAAATGCTGCGGGATGATATTATCCAGCCGTCCAAGAGCCCATGGGCATCCCCCGTGGTGTTAGTGAAGAAAAAGGATGGGACCCTACGTTTCTGCGTCGATTATCGCCGCCTGAACAAAATCACAAGAAAGGACGTGTATCCTCTCCCACGAATAGACGACGCACTTGATCGGCTCCATAACGCCAAGTACTTTTCGTCAATGGACCTCAAGACTGGCTATTGGCAAATCGAAGTCGACGAAAGAGACCGAGAGAAGACGGCGTTTATAACACCGGACGGCCTCTTCGAGTTTAAGGTGATGCCCTTCGGCCTTTGCTCAGCGCCTGCAACTTTTCAACGCGTTATGGATACAGTACTGGCAGGATTGAAGTGGCAGACTTGCCTTGTGTACTTGGACGACGTCGTCGTGTTTTCCTCGAGTTTCGACGAGCATCTTCGGCGCCTTGAAGCTGTACTTCAAGCCATCAAGACTTCCGGACTCACACTGAAGCCAGAAAAGTGCAGATTCGCGTATGAGGAGCTCTTGTTTCTGGGGCACGTTATCAGCAAGTCTGGAGTTCGTCCTGATCCACGGAAAACAGCCGCCATCGCCGAATTCCCGCCGCCCACTGACAAGAAAGCCGTGCGCCGATTTCTGGGCCTGTGCGCCTATTATAGGCGGTTCGTGAAAAACTTCGCCCGCATCGCCGATCCTCTCACTAACCTTACCAAGGCCGACTTGGAGTTCAAGTGGGAAACGCCACAGGAACACGCTTTCCAGGAGCTTAAACATCGCCTCCAGACGCCTCCGTTACTTGCCCATTTCGACGAATTCGCCGAGACAGAAATACATACTGACGCAAGCAGCGTAGGTCTTGGCGCCGTTCTTGTGCAGAGGGCTGACGGACTTGAAAGGGTTATTAGTTACGCCAGCCGATCGCTATCCAAAGCAGAAGCAAATTATTCCACAACAGAAAAGGAGTGCCTCGCCATCATCTGGGCTACGTCGAAATTTCGCCCATACCTCTACGGCAGGCCCTTCAAAGTTGTGAGCGACCACCACGCCTTGTGTTGGCTAGCCACTTTGAAGGACCCTTCAGGTCGCCTCG